TGGTACTGGGGGACAGTGCCTCAAAAAGGGCTACACAGAGGCCACTGTGAAGACATGGCTATTTTGAAGGTGCAGTACATTAGCCGTACCTGGCAGATCCCCTTTTCATTGCGTTCTCAACCTGGGTGTGTATGTGGGTTTTCTGGCTTGTGCCTCTCTGGGGAGAAGTGGAAGATACTTATTTCAGTAGTGTCTTGTGTGCATCATTTATATGCTGAACACACGCCATGTGCTTTCTACAGTATTTTTCAAGCAGGCACTGTCATTCTGGAGGCCGTCAGCAAGCAGCCTCTGGTTACAGAGCTCTGCAGGTACTGGAAAAGGTCTTACTGCCTACTTAATACAGAGCAGGGGCTTGGTCTCTTGCCACCACAAAGGCCACACTTATAAATCAACAGTAAGTGCTAGGAGTAAAGCAGAAGAAAACATCAGTGACTTGCAAACTGTTCCTTCTTTAGTCCCCAAAGTGTATTTTTTGCCCTTTGGGGTGAGGTGGGTGGATAGGGAGCTTTACCTCATTTGCTTTCTTGAAACCTCTTAGAAGTACAAGTGATGCGGCTGCATGATTTGTGTATGCATGCAGAAGAGGGCCATCTGAATTGTAAATAGCACCTGCTAAATTATTATTAAGTGAAAGCTGACGTGGGAGGAGTTCTCAGGAAAAAAAAAACCTCAAGTCTTTTAATAAAAGTCGTTCCAGATGTTTTAACATTATCCCCTGGCTGCATGCTACATACTTCAGCTCATGTCGATGCTATGGGGAGTTAACGTGAGTCGTATCAAGGACAGGGAAGGCCCCATTAAATCCAGTTACTGTCACTTGTGTGAGAGCTTTAAATGGCTGCACTAAAACTCATTATTAAAGAAAGGAACTATCAATTTTATTTAATGTATGGTGCCCAGCCTTGATTCTGCTCCCAGCCCAGAAACTTGCCATGCTCGGGGTGATATAAAACTTAGACCTGCACTCATCAGGATGAGCATTTAACTGTTGTAGAGTCCTGGCTGCATCCTGGCTGGCTAACTGAGGCTGTGGGGGCTGCCCTGCACCCCTGCCAAGGCAGGTGCCAAGCTCAGCCGGTATTGCCACTTGCCTTAGTCCAGCCAAAGCTTTTGCTGGTGTAGGTACGACTGCTGAACTGGGCTTCAGGTGAGCGGGAGTCCTTGGTGAGCAAAGCTGCTCGACCTGAGTATCCTTACCCCTTCTGCTCCTGGTGGAGAGCAGAAAGAGGAGGAGCCGGGTGCCAACCTTGGGCCCTTCCATGCAGAAAGCGGAAAGGTGAGTGCTAGGATCTTCCTGCAAGCAAAGGGAGGTGACATGAAAGGCACAGTCTTGCACAGGAGGTTTCTTGTCAGACCCGGGAGTGGGGGTTTAAGAGAACTTTTTCGAAGTGAAACATTACATTTTCCATCCCTCCATGACTTGTGGCCCCTCTTGTCTTTCCAAGACCCCAGGAGTGAGGATGCTGTCTGAGGGCATCCCCACTGTCTCTGAAGCGTCAGTGTCATTGGGCTTGGCTGGCATGGATCACCCCATTACTACTGGCATGTTGCCTCATGGACGCGGTAGCAAGCTGTTGTCAGCCTATGTAATCAAAAGGCTGAAGTTGTAAATCATATTACAGGCTGGAATGAGGAATTTGATCCCTGTAACAAACCATCCAACTTTTATTCACATTTATTACTATTTCTGCTATTGCCATGGAGCAAAGATCCTTTTTGAAAAAAAGAACATGCCACCAGCACAGTTTGATTGTGTCCTTAGGAAATTTAGGGTTGTGTTTTTCTTGCATTAACTGCACAGGCAAATTTGCAATAAAAATTACTTGGCTGCAGAAGCCTTTTTTCCCATCACTGAGCTGTCAATCAGCCTGTAATTTCTTAGTATCGGACTATGCTGAAGGACTCACTGAATTGTTCTCCCCTAAAACCTCAAATATGAGAAAATCATTTTGAATGGAAGGAAGATTTCATAGTTCTTTTTTTAGGGGAAAAAAATACCTCTCCTGTGATGGGAAATAACCTCTGAGGAGAGTGGAAGTGGCAGCAAGAGTCTGAAGTTCTCCCTTTATCCGCAAGAAAGCACTGCTTCCTCCACACCCTCTGTTTTTGGGGTACCAGTGTGGGTCAGTGATTTTATCCCCTATTCCTGTTCCCCTGCTGAGGCTGCCAGCAGTGTTTCAGAGACAGCAAGGGGCTGGTTGTTGATGTGGAAACCAGTCCCTAACAACAACTCATTTCACCAATGAGCACAGGCAGCCTTCTGACATTGACAGTGTTGAGTGACTGCTGACCTTGTTTTTAGCGTCAGCTGATGTCAACTGGAGTACTGCCAGTTTGCACCAGTTGAAAGTCTGTCCCTTAATGGTGGTGATTATCCTGATTTTTACAGTGGCACTGAGAAAGTTGCAGCTGCTGCACTTCACATCCTTGACTTTAATTTGGGGTGCCTCGGTCGTTTCGTGTTGTCTTTAGAGGAGTGTGTGAGAAGAACGTCTCGTCTTGTTCTGCGTCAGTCATTTTTTCCCTTTTTATTTTGTACGAAGAGAGATTGCTCAAGCACACCATGGAATGAAAGCCATAAAGCTATAAATTACACCTCTGCTAGGTCCACAATATGTTACCAATTACATCTGTTACATTATTCGCGTCCAGGGGGAAAACATACATCAAACCAACCCCACTCTCTCCAGGCAGGTTGGTACTGTACTAGAAGGAACACTGTGACTCCTCTTAATCAGTGGAAGAACAAACACAGTTTTGGCTCACTCACATACAATCCTTGTGTCCAGGATGACAAGTTGAGTAATACTGCTGCGGTTCTCCAAGCTCACCACATGCCACATGCTGCAGCATTCGTGGCAGCACTGCCCCGTGGAAAGGAGAGAGGAGAGCAAGCACTTAGAGGGGCAGGGAGCTGGAGGGGGTCTTAGTACCCAGTTGCAGGGACCTTGGAAATTGCTGCCAAGGAGGTTGAGAGGCGGAGGGGGGGGTGGAGTTAAAAGGAATGACAGCAAACAGCATCAGAAATCCCCTTAGAGCTAGGGAGCACATCTGCAGAGGGGAGCACACTGTGGTTTGCAGGGCTTCATTGTCAGAGCAGGGTCAGCGGGGTTTTGTGCGGCGTGTTCAAGCAGGGGTGAGGGTTGGTTTCCCCATGTGTCCCGATGGGGGTTTTCTTCTGCGTCTGCCTTGTCCTCATAAATGTGTCACTGTGGCAGGGATGAAGGTGGGAGTGTTGAAGCAAACTGGAGTGATTGCTTTGCTGGTTACTTCTTAGTAGCTATGTATGGTGGGTTTTGGCTTGCCACAGCACCCCTCTCCTGAGTAGGTCCTGGGCTTTGGGCAGCCGGGAATTAACTAGAAAATGGGCACTGGATGTGTTTAGGTCTGTTTGCTTCACCATGCTACTGAATTTTGTGAGTGTAGAGTAATCTTCATATTTTTCTATGTGAGTGTATAAGTTCATGCATGTGTGTGAGCCTATATGAGCTCCAGAAAATGGTCTGGAGGGGAGCTGAGTGTCAGATACTGTCAGTCCTCCAAGTGAAGAAGTCATCCATGTGCATTGCGGATTTTGTTGTGGTTTTGTTATTGAAGCATTTATTCAGCTTTTAACTTTTTAAAGTTGAAAACAAGTCAAGGTTATGTTTGTGCTTAATAATTCAGCAATGGTGCCAGCTCAGCATATTGTCTTTTCCTTCCCTAGTCATTCTGGTTTATTAAAAAGAAACACTGACGACAGATAGAAAGGTGAAGGAGGCTGTGCCTTTCTGCTCTAACTCCTGTCAGGTGCTCACTCCTTTCCTAGGAATCCCCATGGATTTGTGTTCTTCACAGTACCTTTGCTCTGGTGGTACTATCCCTACCCTGGGCAGGAAAAGCTGGCAGCAAGTAAGGACTTAGAAGTCCCCTTTTCTGTGGACAACATCTTTTTTTCTGAATAGACACATTTTCTGTGACAGTGGAATATTACTCAGAGTCCTTCAGTAAATCTGTCTCAGTGATACTGTATTTTCACCTCAGTTATGAAGTTTATGAGGTTGTTCTTTGATGTTTGTTTTTTTTTTAAATAAAGATTTAGAAGGTCATTAACTCTTCTGGAGCCAAAGAAGCTTGCATTAAAATAGGGTTTTGTCTTTTCTTTAAAAGTAAAGTTATATTAGGAGCTAATTCTGCCACGTGCTAATATGTATGTTGCTTCATTAACAATGCTGTTAATTTGCAGGGGATCAGTTTTCCAGTGATGGTGTTGTCACTGTGAATAAGAATAGATGAACACAATTTTATAAATATAGGAGAACTGAGAGCACGCAGTATAGCTCATGTTGTGTAACTCCTATCTCCACTGTCCCTGAGCACAGACCAGTATTGTGCACGATTCCCACACGCAGATTTGGCAAGCAATCTGAAACATCCTCTTCTTCTACCCTGGCTCCTCAACTTTATCTGTGCACCTCCATTTTGTCACAGTGTATCATCTCCTGGTCCCATCTTGGCTCTCTGCAGGCCTGAAGCTACACAGTGGTTTTATGGAAATAAATGGAGGGCTTAAGTCAGATCCACCAAAGTGCTTAATACAGGATGAGCCTGAGGATTTGAAATTTGGCTTCTGTAGTCAGAATACTTTACAGTATTTGACATGAGTTCTTCCAGAGAGCTAGATATATTCCTGGAGACAATGGGAATAGGAGTCTCTTTAGACAGAGGAGGTAAAAATAACATGTACATTCCTGTTATTAAAAATGAGAAGGGGGAGAGCAAGAGAGCAGAAATCTTGAATGTTGTTAGTATAGTTCAATCAGAGGTAGTGATTTATTTAGAGCATAGTATTTTATTTCTGTTGAATACATATTTCTGGAAGAATGTGATTTTTGCATGTGTGTGTCTGTGCTGTGTCTGAAGCCTGTGTCCCATTTCCCTTTCCTGCCACTGAGCAAATGAAAAAAGTTGGGGATGGCATCCTGACACTGTGGTTTCACTCTGATGTTGTATTGCAGGTATGGCCTCGCATGTGCAAGTTTTCTCTCCTCATACCCTTCAGTCAAGTGCCTTCTGTAGCGTGAAGAAACTGAAAGTGGAGCCGAGTTCAAACTGGGATATGACTGGGTACGGCACACACAGCAAAGTCTACAGCCAGAGCAAGAACGTGCAGTCCTCCCAAGCAGCCGCCGCAGCAGCCGTCAACGCCTCCCTCCAGATCCCCAATCCGAGCATCCCCTACGAACAGACCATCATCTTCCCAGCAAGCACGGGGCACATCGTGGTGACATCTGCCAACAGCACTTCTGGTGTGGTTGCAGTGTCTGGGCAAACACTGGGCGGGCCACACAACCTGATGCGTCGCAGCACTGTGAGCCTTCTGGACACCTACCAAAAATGTGGACTTAAGCGCAAGAGTGAGGAGATTGAGAACACAAGCAGCGTGCAGATTATTGAGGAGCATCCACCAATGATTCAGAACAATGCCAGTGGGGCCACTGTAGCCACCGCCACCACTTCCACAGCCACCTCCAAAAACAGTGGCTCCAACAGTGAAGGGGATTACCAGCTGGTGCAACATGAGGTGCTCTGTTCCATGACCAACACATATGAAGTGTTAGAGTTTCTTGGCCGTGGAACCTTCGGACAAGTAGTCAAATGCTGGAAACGTGGCACTAATGAGATTGTGGCTATCAAGATCCTAAAAAACCACCCTTCCTATGCCCGGCAAGGCCAGATTGAAGTGAGCATCCTGGCTCGGCTGAGCACGGAAAGTGCGGATGACTACAACTTTGTCCGTGCTTACGAGTGCTTCCAGCACAAGAATCACACATGCTTGGTCTTTGAAATGTTGGAGCAGAACCTCTATGATTTCCTAAAACAAAATAAATTCAGTCCCTTACCCCTTAAGTACATTCGACCAATTCTCCAGCAGGTGGCAACTGCCCTAATGAAGCTGAAAAGCCTGGGACTGATTCATGCTGATCTCAAACCAGAGAACATCATGTTGGTAGACCCATCCCGACAGCCATATAGGGTCAAGGTCATAGACTTTGGTTCAGCTAGCCATGTATCTAAAGCTGTGTGTTCTACCTACCTTCAATCCAGATATTACAGGTAAGAGACTGGGCTCATGTAACGTAACTAGAAGTATTTTACCTATGGGAATTTTGCTACATTCAGGTAAATGAATGAAAGTCATCCCTTAATCCTAAAGAAAGATGAGTCTTAGAATGGCTTGTTGGTGATAGGAAAAAATGGTGTCCTAACTCCTTGGAGTTTACTTGCACTGAAAACCATTGTAAATTTGTAAATAGTTAAAAAGTGTTGTAAAAATAGAGTTTTCCAGTTCCAGTTTAGAAAGCCTTTCCCCTCTCTTCTCTTTGGGAATGTTTCCAGATGAGAGCACGTCTCTGGAGAGTCCACATTTCTATTCCAAGTAAATGCGTGTAGGTTCTTGGTGTCAGTATTACTTTAACCTAAACAATCAATCCATATTTCAAATATGTCTTCCAGTCTTTACTCATATGTGAAAACAGGGATTTTACAAGAATGAGATTGACCCACAGGAAAACTGTGTGGATGCAGATGATGCTTTGTCAGGGAGTAGTTTTCACACAGGCTGTGCAGCTTGCTAGAGTCAATGGGAATATTCTGGCTGGCGCCTGTCAGCTCTCCTCCCAGCAAGCAGACAGCCTGGCCAGGCTGGAAACACCTATTGCCATGTGGGAAGCTGTTGGTAGAGCTGAATGAGTATTGTCAGTGATTTGGTGTTGGACTGAGGACTGGGTGTGGTCTGTTGATTCCCAGTCACAGTGCTTTGTTATGTGCTAGGATGGAGTTCTGACCTCTGTGAAGGCGTGCCTGACGGGAAACCTGTGAACCAGCTATATCCCTTTTCATTCTGTTGAACAGTTTTAGCAAAGCAGCCTCTTTTCATAACCCCTGGAAGGCCATCCTCCCCCTCCGTCTTGACTCCAAGACACAAAGTTTCTCCATAGATGTTTTCCTCAGCCCCTCACTTTGGTACCAGTCAGCTTGAGTCAACATCTCAAGGACTGAGAAAAGCAATTCTGCTACATCAGGCATGGAGGAAAATAGTGGGACGGGGGAAACAGAATTTATCTTTAGATAATAGCTGAATTTAGAAATGTTCAGACCATGTTTTTGTTGTTGCACTTCTGCGAAACAGGCGAAGAGGGAAAACGCGATCCTTCTTGATGACTGATTTAATGACAATCAGTCCTGGCAGCATCCACAGCTCATCAGATGGGTTACAGAAAAGCAGGGTAGTTGCTCTGTTTGTAAATAGGAAAGAAATCTGTCATACATGGGTAGGGCAGGGGACAAAAAGCCAACATGAGTTAATAACAGACCCTTTTCCTACTTTAAACTTCAGGGTGGCAAAGCCTACCTGAACTCTGAGCTGAGAAAGAGTTAATTTTCACAGGAACAGGAACTTTGACAGTGTAGCACTGCAGCAGCTGATTTTTATCTGCTTGTCCTTTGCTCTGAAGGAGGCCAGGAAAAAATCCCCAACCCTAGTTTATACCTCAGAAGAGGCTTATTAAATGAAATATTCTACCTGATGACAGTCTCATCCTCCAGGAGAGACATGTTTCTGTGGTAAATATGCAAAAGCTTTTAGGATTGCAATTACCTGGCAGACTAGAAATAAAAATAAAAAAAAAGATAATACAGGCATTTTGTTGTTGAGTTATCTGTGATTCTGCATTAGCAGCCTAGGTCCCTAGCTGAAAGACAGAAGGGGCAGCCAAAATGAAATATGTGACAGAAAGCAGAAATGAAAGAGAAAAATGGTTCATTCTCAGCGACAAACAAGGAATATTTTTGTGTCAGTCTCTGGGGAGGAAAAGGCTTGATAAAATTTGCTTTTTATATTTTAAATGTTATTCCTGCCCAGTCTGAAGTTACAACTTGATAGATAATAAGTTCTATCTGTCTAATTCCTCCCTTGTTTTCCATGCCTGAATTGGTGAGAGGAGGGAAAAAGGGCAGCAGCTCACCAGGAAAAAAAAAAAAAAGAAAAATCTTGTTGGGTTGAATTACATCAGCAGGGGGCTGCTGATTAAGCTAAATTCAAGTCATGAGGAAAATTTATATTCTTCATTTTCTGATAGGGAAAAATACAGCACAGAGTGAAGACCCCTTCCACTCCAAAGAGAAGGAACTTTCATGCTAGGGGAAACACTGGGCTTTATAAAGATTTCATGTGTCTTCCATTTAATTTACACTTGTTCTGCTTGCTAGAGTATGAAAGACAAGGGGATGACTTCAAGAAATGGCACATTTAAGCTGAATGTGAAGGAAAAGCTTCCTCAGAGTAGTAAAACCTCTCAGACTCTAAGCAGTCGTGCCAAAGAAGTGACAGAAGCCCTGTGCCTCATGCATTTAAGGAAAGATGAGGCAGAGCACTGGGGAATATAATGTAGAGTTTGAATCTCAACTGGAGTTTTTTTATTATGGACTTTTGGGAGCAAATTCCTAAGTCGTCCCCATATTTTATTAACAATTTGCTTTTTCTTTTCTGTATCACTACTTTTGAGACTGTGATGGCTAAATCCTTTCAAGGGTTGAAAGGTGTTTGGGATCCTGCTCATTTTCAGGGTAATATAAGGCCTTTCCTCTTCTCCCAGAGGTGGGAGACAAAAGTATCTTTAAACAATGTTCTTTCTTGACCTGAATCTGCATAAACTAAGAGAAGCACCATGGCTGCTTGCAGACTTTATGTGAGTGATTTGCCATTGCTGCCACGTAACATGCTCTGAAGATGAACCAGATCCTTCAGCCCATTTCTTGTGGGAGGGATGGATTGGAACTTGGTATTGCGCTGCTGGTGCTGCTCGGGGGCCCTCGCTCGGTGCACCAAACTCAGCAATGTTTCTGTCCCACTAGAGATATTTCTAAGCAAGTGCTCTCTGGAAGAATGGTGGTGGCATTAAGGTGGCAGAGTGGTATGGAAAGTACCAAAAATGACATCAAAATGTCTTCAGTCTAACAGAATTTAGCTCCCAACCCTCAGAGGATATAGCCAGCTCCAGGCTAGATCTGGTGCCATAATTGATACTCTGGAGATCTTTCACTCTTGCTTCTGGGCCCATAGAGGGGCCCAAGGCAAAGCATAACATGATAGCCTAAGGTGGGCCTTGCAGGAACTCCCTCACTGCCAAGAATCCCTCTCTGGGAGGGCAGTGCCATCATGTCACCAGTGCAGCCTCAGGCCTCTGGTGAAGGGAATAAGCCCCAGCAGGGTCACACCATGGGCCCTGCCCTGACGTGACAAAGAACATTACAGCTGCAGTCTGTGGTCATCTGAATGGGTGGTGCTGTGAAGAGGATAATCCTCCTTCTGCCCACCCATCTTCAGCCTCTGGTGCAAAACTCGCTGTGGTGCAGTGTTTCTCATGTGGCATCCTTAGCCAGTGCCTGTAGGACCTGACTGGTGGCTATCCAAATGTCCCTTGCTTGGAACAGGGGTCCCAGCCTTCCCCTCGGTCACCATAGTCTTTCGTCTTGTCCCTTATCACCAGCTGCATCAGCCTGGGCCTGATCATTGACCCTTCATGGGGGTACATGGTGATGCAGCCATGGTCTGGAGGTGCCTGTGTAGGAACTGAAGCTGCCCATGGGAGGCTGCTCTGCCCAGCTCGCAGGGCAGGAGCAGGGCTCTGCAACTGGCAGTTTAACCAGACAATTTCTTAAGCTATAAATGAAACCCTGTTCACAGAGCAACCGATCAAAAATCTACGACAGCTGCTGCGTCACAGGGTATCTTCCTGGGATTTTATTTTTTTCTTTTCTTTTTCATGCTGCAGTTTGAAGGGGAGATCACTGAGGTAGTCTCTATGATCTCCATTTTGCAGAGAGTCAGAGAGATGAATGACCAGAGAGATCCCTTCTGGGTTGATAAGCTATGTATGGACAGCTTCCTGGGAAAACCCATATCCTGAGAAATACAGGGCTCAGGCTGCAACAGATGTCCCCTTTGATAGAGCCCCTATTCATGTACCCAGGTGGAAGAGGGGGTACTACCCTCTGGGAGATGGGAGTGGTTGGGGTGGCGGGGAGATCTGTGGTCCTCCCTTGCTGGAACCAGAGTGGATTTCTATCATGGGGTGGCAGCGCCAGGATGCTCGGAACAGTTGGGCTGCTCGTGGGGGCACTATCACTATGTTACTTTGCCCTCTTGGCTTTTCTTTGCTGTTCAGCTGAAACAGCTGCTGTGTTGGCACCTCAGGGATGATAACGTTCCGCTAATTAATGGCGTAATCACCTTACGAGATTTAAGTCTTTTAGAATTTGCAAAATATTGCAAATATAAAATAGTGGCTGTCACCTCTCCACTATTAGTGGATAAATGTAGGTTAGGTTCCTTGTTTTCAAAAGGCTTTGGTATGTGGCGTGTCTGGCTCGAGTTGGGATGTCTGCTTTGTAGGTAAGTGGCCTTTGATGAAATGTTTGGATAACAGAGAATGAAGCCGAGTATCAGTTTGAAGAGGTGTTTATCAGTCTAGTTTCAGACTCTGCAAGAAAATATGCAGGCATAAAAGCTACGTGCATGTTGTCAAACGCCCATACAGAGTGAGTAGTGAGGCTGTGTGCAGGTGTGGTTTTTAACTGGCTGTACATGCTTAGCTGGGTGAGTGCAGTTCCTGAGGGTGCAGGGGGCTAAACTGGGTCCATCTTGTCACGCATGGACATTGTACCATGACATGTATCAGTCCTCTAGCTGTGCTGACAGGGAGCCAAAGCAGGATAGATTCTTGAGCAGAGTCACAACCTCTTCCCCATCATGTGACTCACAGTATGTGTCATTCTGGCCAAAACTGCCCTTTAAATGAGGCAGTAATAATGGCACAGGGATAGGCTATGCTTATTTGTTTACTCAGTGAATTGACATCTGTTAAGTCCTTGTATAACAGTGTTAGTGCACTTATATTTCGAAATCTTCTGCCATTCTGGACTTGCAAAAACATCTCTATCTCAGACTTGACTGCATTTGCAGCCGTGGGAGTTTCATTGCTCTGCCAGTCTGTTTCAGTCCTACCTGCAACATTCACTGCTTTACTGACTCTGCCTCTCCAAGGTAAAGAGCA